TGGGACCCTTCTTCAGAAATGGGGATTTCTGAAGAAGGGTCCCAACCCGAAACGTCAGCTTTCCTGCTCCTCTGATGCTGCCTGGCCTGCTGTGTTCCTCCAGCTTCACACTGTGTTATCTCTGACTCCAGCATCGATAGTTCCTACTGTCTCTGGGTTAATTTAGGATGTCTGGTCAGTGTGCGCAAATTGGAACAAAAGGTCTGTTTCCATGCTGTACATCCTTATGACTCTATGACCTACTGGAGGCTGAGTTCACAGCATGGTGGCAGATCTCTGAGCTCCCCAGCAGGTGGAAGGGAAATGCTGGGAGATTAACAACCCCTCCCAAACCACAGCCCCCACCTCCCTCAGGAGATGGCATGGGAGATGGGGCAATTAATCATGCAACAGAAAGGGGGGAAAGTGCATGGAATGTGAGAGTCAACATAACGCCCTTAGCATCATGAGACATCCCACTGGAATATTATCAAATTAATCATTACACCAAGTCACTGAGGAGATATTAGCACAATAAGAAGGCAGTGAGGGAGACCTGGTTGAGATGCCACATAGTTCTGAGGGGAGTAGACAAATTAGAAACCTTTTCCCGTAGTAAAGGTGTCAATAACCAGGGGGTACAGTTTTTAAGATAAGGAGCAGAAGGTTTAGAGGGGAAATTTTAGAGGAAGCAGGGTGGTAGAGGGAGGAGCTTTAGTAACATTAAAGAAGTATTTAGATTAATACTTGAAACACCACTGTATACAGGACCAAGGGCTAAGTGCCAGGAAATAGGATTAGAATAGGTAGAAATTTGTTGATCAATGTGGATATAAAGGGCCTTTCTTGGTCCTGTTAAAAAGCTCAATGACTCCAAGTGACATCAAAGAGGCTTTAAGGAGCATCTCAAAGGATGGGACAAAAGAATTGAGGAAGGGGTTCCAAATGAATTATCGTCAGCGAGACACACTCATAGCGAATTTACAACAAGCTTAAATTTCCTGGTGAGTGGCTGATTAATTCCATTGCTCTCTCTCAACACCGTCCAAACCCCACCACGCACCCCAACACAACATCCCAAGGAAACATGAAGCATTTCAGATCAAGGTGAGAGAGTAGCACACTTAGAAAGATAAGCTTACTCTTGTTGCTGAGCATTGACAACTGATAACAAACTGAAAGCAGGGACCCAAAAGTATAACAAAGAGGGACCACAAAACAGAGATCAGCAAAAGGTCCTAAAATCTAAATTTTCCTCTCCCTCTGCTAAAGACTGTGTTGAAAGTTTAGCTCCTTTTTTTTAAAATATCCCTTTGACTATCTTCACGCTTTGAAGATTGTTCTTCACAGTTTGTTGATGAATGTCCCAGGGCCCCAATCCCATTGAGTTCATCGCTGGTTATTGGAAGGTCACCAGTGTTTGTATTTCCATATGTTATTCACATTTCTGTCGTATCTTTTCAGTCTAACTCCATATCAGAGTCTGAATGAAATGATATCTGTTCCGCCATTTGTTGCACTGTCTCGTCCAATGGTGTGAGCTTCCCATCACAGCCTACTCCCATTGGCTGGATAATTTGTTCTCTACAATAAGCAGAAATAAAAATGCATTAAGAAAATTAAAACAGGGAGCTGGGGGAGGGGGGAATCAGCCAGAGAGAACGGGTGGGGTAGGGAGACAAGGAGAGGGGGGAAAGCACAGGGATGGAGATAGGCAGCATGTGGGAGACGACAGCAAGATTGGGAGAGGCAGAGAGCAGAGAGAGAGGGTGAGTGCAGAGGGCGAGGGAGAGATGAGGTGAGGGAGAGAGATAGAAAGAAGGGGTTTAGAAGAGAGTGAGAAGAAGAGGCAAATGAAACAGCATGACGGCTATGGAGAGGGAGTAAAGAGGGAGGGAGAAGGAAAGATAAAAGAGGAGGAGACTATTCAGCCTCTAGTGCCTGTATGTCCATTTTGTTAGATCGTGGTTGATCTGGACTTTCATAGAACCCCTACAGTGTGGAAACAGGCCCTTCGGCCCAACAAGTCCACACTGACCCTCAGAGCAACCCACCCAGACCCATCCACCCAATCTACACATCCCTGAATACTACGGGCAATTTAGCATGGCCAACCCACCTAGCCTGCAGATCTTTGGACTGTGGGAGGAAACCAGAGCACCTGGAGGAAACCCACACAGACACAGGGAGAATGTGCGAACTCCACACAGACAGTTGCCCGAGGGTGGGATTGAATCCGGGTTCCTGATGCTGTGAGGCAGCAGTGCTAACCACTGAGCCACCATGCCATTTGGCGTCAGCCTGATTCCATATGCCTTAGTCGTTTACGCAATAAACATCAAACAATCTCCATTTTTACATTTTCAATTCGCCTCCCCAACCTCGATGTATTTTAGGGGAGAAATTCCACATTTCCTCTCCCTTTGGTGGGTAAAAGACACTGAGTGAGGCTAAAGTGGAGTGGAATGGGGGTTGGGGAGGCCAAAGGAGCAGATGGGATTTCCAGGAACTTTGTGAGATTGCCCCATCAAGGTCTATCCCTTCATCGAGGGGGATCGGGTTTCGGACTGGGGTCGGGAATAAAGGGGAAGGGGGTCAGTAGTGGGTGGAAATGTGGCCAGAACTGAGGAATAGTGGGTAGAGGGAAAAGGAGTTTGGGAAAGGAGGAAGGGATCAGGAATGGGGGAGAAGTAGACTGGTGAAGGGGTTGGGAATAAGGGGAAGGGGAATGAGGGATAGGGGTCTGAAATTGAGGTTGGGGTTGGAAATGGAGATAGGGTCAGGAATGGCGGGGTGTGGAGGGAATGGAAAAATATTTGGGGATGTGGAAGGATGTTGGGAATGGGGATGAAGTTGGGAATACAGGAGGGGGAGTAGGAAAAAGGTCAGGAATGGGCATAGAGGTCAAGAATGGGAATTAAAGGTCAGAAACAGGGAAGGGGTCAGGAACTGGGGAAGGAGCGTTGTGGAGCAGAATGGGCTATGTGTTAGGAATGGGGGAAAGGTCAGGAATGGGGAAGGAGGAATGGGAAAAGGGTCAGGAGTGGGGAAGGACCAATGGGGAAGGGGTTGAGATTTGGGGCTGGGGGGATGGGGGAATGGGGAAGGAGTTGGGATTGGGGAGGAGGAATTGGAAAGGGATTGGGAATGGGGAGGGGAAATGGATTGGAAATGGGGCAAGGGGGAATGAGGAAGGAGTTGTGAATTGGGAGGGAGAATGAGAAAGGGATAAGGATGGGGAGGGACAATGGGGAGGGGGAAATGGGAAATGGTGAGGTGGGAATGGGAAAGGGATTGGGATTGGGGAATGGGCAGGGGGATTGTGAAGGGCATTGGGATTGGGGAATGTCGAGGAAATTGGGATTGGGGAATGGGGAGGCGGAATGGGAAAGGGATTGGAAATGGGGAGGGGGGAATAGAGAAGGGGAATGGAGAAGGAAATTGGAGAGGCGATTTGTGGAGAGGTCAGGATTGGGGTGGTGGGGGGTGACTTGTGTTAGACACGCGGCTGTAGGGAATGTACCGTGACAGTTTGTCGAACATGCTGACAAGCTTCATGGCCTCATATTCCTTCTGTTCATCTGTCATTCCATCCATGGGGTTCGGCAGCTTCTCCTCAACTCGCCCTGTCACCGGGTTTATACTGGGGGAAGTGAGGGGTGTGGGAGAGAGAGATAGGGACACGGTGATGAATGAGCTGTGTTTAAAGAGACAGACCCACCTCGAGTCTCCAGCCCTGCCCCCACTTATTCCCGATAGTCCCTGGCCTGGAGCTCGCTTACTTCGGTTTGGCCTCTTTATATTCCTCTGTGTCGGTGTCCTCCTCCTCGGAATATTTTCCATCTCCTCTTCCTCCCCCCAGGAGTCCGCGGGCGGCCAGCAACCCAGCTGCATTCCCGTATCCCGTGTATTTCACAAAACGGGAAACTGCAGAAGCAAAGGGAACAGAGTGACAGATAGCAAGAGGGAGAAGGGGAGGGAGAGGGAGAGAGAGAGGGAAGGAGGGAGAGAGAGAGGGAAGGAGAGGGAGAGGGGGTGGGAGGGTATGGGAGAGAGAGGAACGGAGGGGAGAGAGAGGGACAGAAGGGAGAGAGAGGATGTGGGAGAGAGAGGATCGGAGGGGAGAGAGGGAGTATGGGAGGGAGAGGAATGGAGGAGGGAGAGAGGGAGAAGGGGGGTAGAGAGAAGGGGAAGAGGGTGAGGGTTAGTGGGGATGAGAGGGTGAAGGGGAGGGGGAGAAGGAGAGACAGAGACGGGGGGGGGGGGGAGAGAGTGAGGGAAAGGGAGAGAGGGGGCACAAGGGAGAGGAGGAGAAAGCAAAAAGGAAGGAGCGTGGGTGAGAGAGAGACAGAGAATAGGACAGAGATAGAGAGGGACAGAAAGGAACAGGGTTGAGGACAGAGAATTAGAGACAAAGAGACATAGAGTCTGTGTGAGAGACAGAAAGAGAGGGAGGGCATATAGTCCAATACCTGTTACCACCCATAACCCTGTTAGCCTCAGCTCGAATACACTGCCCCTGACTGATGCCCCAGTCCCTTCAAGCTGCTGCTTGATTCATGTTTCATATTGTTCCCCCCTCGCCCTATGGCTGTTTTCTTGCATTTACCCCTCCCATACACTTCACATCCAGATACCCTGCCCCTCCCTGCCTCTAACCATGCCCGACCCCAATAACCCCCAAAACCCACCGAGCAGCTCTGAATACTCCCATCCCCACCATGGGCAGTTTCTAAGGTTGGGTCCTCTTCAGTATAAGATGGCCTTCACCAATTAGAAAGATCAAGGGGCAATTTGGTGAACCATCAAGGCAGCTCCTCGGCTCTTCCTGAATATAGACCAGTACAGCACAGGAACAGGCCCTTCGGCCCATCGTGTCTGTGCTGACCGTCATGCCATTCTAAACTAATCCCACCTGCTTGCTCATGGTCCATATTCCTCTTGTGTTCTCTCTAATTTCTCCTTGATGTGGAAGTTTGCACTCTGAACAGCTTCCTTGGAGTGCCCTGACTGGGTGGGAATTAGATGAGGAAATGGCTGGGAGGGCGGCTCGTGCAGATCACAAAGGAAGAGAAAGGTCTTCGCATTGCTGTAGCGCCCTCTCACGAAGTCAGGGAAGTCACAAAAAAAAGCGCTTGGCAGCCAACAGAGCATGGGGTCCCTGTTGGAACGTGTGAAACAGCATGGTCAATTTGCGCACAGCAAGCTCCCACAAACAGCAATGTGATAACGACCAGATAGGCCAGGTTAGGGATGGTTGACGCACGTACAGGGTGCAGGATCCCCCCAGCTCTTCTTCAAGATTACAGCAGCGGGACACTTCATATCCATCTGGGGATTATTGGCGCTGTCTTCCAGAAGCCAAAGCCTAGGGCAGTGCAGCAACATCCCCCACCCCCATTCCCCCAACCCCACCGACTCGCTCAGGTCCCCGGTGAAGGGATCGAACCCACAACCCACAGGATCAAGCGAGCAACGCACTAAAATCACCAACTGGGATCCATTGGGATTTGGGGAGGGGGGGAGTCTACGTCTATGTTGCTAAATGCCATTATTTAAAGAGTCAATGATGTGTGGGGGAGGGGTGGGGTTTGCCGATGGGGAGTGGGGTGTCCAGGGGTGGAATTTTAGCTCCCCCACTAACCCACCCACCTCCCTCCATCGCTACGGTTACTCACCGTTCTCTTTGCACAGCACAAACAGGAATTCGGCTGCGCAGTGCTTCACATCTGTGTTGACATGAGTCATCAGGCGAACCAGCTTATTCCGCAAGGCTTCTCCCACCTCCGGGCGGTTCTTCACATCCCTGAGCGGGGGCAGGACCTGCACGGAGTGGTGGGGATAGGGTGTGGGCATATCGAGGAACAGAAACCCAATCAGCCCCAGTGTTGCTGTGAAACTCTCCCTTTCCTGGCTTACCCTTCAGCAGCTCTGCCTGGTACCCGATTCTACAATTCACACTTTCGTTGTTATAACTGAGGTTTACAGGAGTGCACCCATCTCTCTCTAGACATTACCCACCCACCACAATCACAATATAAAGCAGAAATGTTTTTACCCATCACTGAGCCCATCGTCCAAAAGATCTATCAAGCAGGTTTCTTAGTGAACACTATTATCGACATTTAGCAAAACAAAACTTAGTCAATAAAGACAGAATCATCGGTTAACAAATGCAGTTGGTAATTTGGAAGCATAAATGTTTCTCCCTATAAATATGCCCAGAACACACATGTAAACACACTGCAGGAGGAGGAAAAGGGAACAGACTCTCTGCTGAGATTGCTTCCCTGAAATATATACACTTTGGCCAATGGGTTAATATTGATAGAATCCCTACAGTGTGGAAGCAGGCCATTCAGCCCATCGAGTCCACACTGATCTCCGAACTGCATCCTACCCAGACCCACCCCTTCTGGAGCACTTGGAGGGAATCCACAGAGATCAGATATGCTCACAAAACTCGAAATAAATTCCTCCCTTCCGCAATTCTTTGAAACCCAAGGCCTCTGAGCAATACAGCTCAGTGGTTAGCACTGCTGCCTCACAGCACCAGAGGCCTGTGTTTGATTCCACCTTTGGGTGACTATCTGTGTGGAGTTTGCACATTCTCCTCGTGTCTGTGTGGGTTTCCTCTCACAGTCCAAAGATGTGCAGGTTAGGGTGGATTGGCCATGCTAAATTGCCTGTAGTGTTCAGGGATGTGTAGGCTAGGTGGATTAGCCATGGGGAATGCAGGGTTACAGGGATAGGGTAGGAGGAATGGGTCTGGGTGGGATGATCTCTGGAAGGTTGGTGTGGACACAATGGGCTGAATGGCCTGCTTTTATGCTGTGGGGATTTAATGAATTATAAATATAAAGCATCTCCATAGTACTTATGTTTGATGGGCCTCAGATTCTTGCTCTCTTTATCTCTGTACCAACCTCAAGCATCATTCCACCCATCACCCCTGAAATCTCCACATCTTCCCCTTTGCACATCCTCAATTTCCTCATTGCTGTTTGGGTCCCAAGCTCTGGAATACTTTCCTTAAATCTCTCTCCCCCTCAACCTCATCCCTTTAACTGCTTCTTAAATCTTTGACCAAACATTCGGTCATCAGGCGCCTGGTGTCAAATGCTGTCTGAAGAAAGCCATTTTTTAAATGACGTTAAAGGTGCTAGGTGAATGCAGGCACTTGTTGTTGTAAAGCTTTTGTTGCGAGTTGCCCTTACCCTGGCACGCAGGAACTTGCGAGTCTCTCGGTGATAACGGGAGCTCTCCGTCAGGAGGTTGAGGACTGGAGTCAGAGATTCCCTCAGCTTCAGACCCTATGGGGACACATCCATCAAACGTGTTAGACTCCAGCGATGGGGGTCATTAAGGTCAGTGCCCCAGCAACCAGGGGAGGGGGGGTCACCCGTCACTCATGTGGGAGAGGGGGCAACATGCAAGGGAGGGATGACAATACCATTCGACTAGAATCTGCAGGTCATAGAGTCATACAGCACAGAAACAGACCCTTCGGTCCAACTAGTCCATGCTGACTATAATCCCAAACTAAACTAGTCCCACCTGCCTGCTCCTGGCCCATATCCCTCCAAACCTTTCCTATTCATATTAAACATTGTAACTGTACCCACATCCACCACTTTCTCTGGAAGTTCATTCCATGCACGAACCACCCTCTGTGTAAAAAAAATGCCCCTCATGTCCTTTTAAAATCTTTCTCCTCACACCTTAAAAATATGTCTCCTGGTCTTGAATTCCCCCACTCTAGGGAAAATACCCTTGTCATTCACCTTCTCTATGCCCCTCATGACTTTGTAAACCTCAATAAGGTCACCTCTCAACCTCCTATGCGCCAATGAAAAACGTCCCAGCCTTTTTCAGTCTATTTTTATATGTCAAACCCTCCATTCCCAGCAACATTCTGGTAAACGTTTTCTGAAGAGTCCGCAATTCAACAATATCCTTCCTATGACAGGGTGATCAGAACTGCACACAGTATTCTGGAAGAGGCCTCACCAATGTCCTATACAATCTTAACATGACGTCCAAACTCTTAACGCTCAAAGATTTAAGTAATGAAGGCAAACGTGTTTAGTGCCTTCTTAAGCACCCTGTCTACATGTGATACAAACTTCAAAGACCTATGTACCTGAACCCCCAGGTCTCTCTGTTCTATAACATTACCCAGAGAGCCCTATCATGATGTGGAGGTGCCGCACTGAGGTGGACAAAGTCAGAAGTCACATGATACCAGGTTACAGTCCAACAGATTTATTTGAAATCACAAGTTTTCAGAGCATTGCTCCTTTGTCAGGTGAAGTTCCTGCCCTACCATTAATTGTATATGTCCTGTTCTTGTTTGTTTTACCAAAATGCAACACCTCACATTTATCTAAATTAAACTCCATCCATCACACCTCAGCCCATTGACCCAATTGATCAAGATCTCTTTGTAATCTGCAAACTTACTAAGCATGGCTCCTACACTCTCATCCAAATCATTTATGAAACTGAAAAACAAAAGAGAACCAGGCACTGATCCCTCTGGAACACCGCTAGCCACAGGCCTCCAGTCCGAAAAACAACCTTCCCCCATTTCTGAAGAAGGGTCCAGTCCCGAAACGTCAGCTTTCCTGCTCCTCTGATGCTGCCTGGCCTGCTGTGTTCATCCAGCTCCACACTGTGTTATCTCATCTTCCACCGTTACTCTCCGTCTCCTGCCATTCAGCCAATTCTGTATCCAATTAGCAAGGTCACCCTGAATCCCATGTAATCTAACTTTACGAATTAGCCTGCATGCAGAACCTTGTCAAAGGCTTTACTAAAGTCTGAATAAACAGTGTCTACTGCTCTGCCCTCATCAACCCTTTTGGTTCCTTCCCCAAAAAACTCAATCAAGTTTGTGAGACACCATTTCCCTCACACAAAACCATGCTGACTACCCTTAATCATTCCTTGCCTCTCCAAATGCATATAAATCCTATTTTTCAAATTCACTTCCTACAACTTACCTAACAATCATTGATTATAATCAAAAATGTCCAGTTTGCTAATGTCCTTTAGAGGAGGAAATATGCCTTCTTTTGCCAGTTGGGCCTACACATAACTCCAGGCACAAATTCAGTCTTGGGGCAATTCGTGATAAGGTAACAAATACTGGCCCTGGCCAGCAGTGTCTTATCCTGTGACAGAATTCAGGGGATTAAAGCTGTTACCCTGTCCAATCTCCTGTTCATGAAATCTAGCAGAGCCTCCACAGTGTCCATGTTCATTCCCATGTATTCCACCGATCCTGGTTCCACCTTCGGAGTGAGGAGCACATCTAAACACATCAGCGGCAGATTGACCAAGACATTGACTGTGTGGCTGAGGAAAGAGTGAGAGGTTAGGACAAAATCTCAAGACCCAGTGAGACCACCACATGCTCCTCCTCACTTTTAACCATCTCCCATCACAATCAGGAACTGGATGACCCACATACCCCCCAAGGGGGTATTTAACAGACCCTACAGGACCGATCTGAAGAGGACCAGACGAGAGCCCTACTCCTGGTGTTTTAAACTAATGTTTATCCTCTACTAAGCTCTGCTGCTTCAGAGGTGGTGGTGTAGGGGTAATGTCACTAGAGTCATAATCAAAACCTTCAAGAATCTATTTGGGGGTGGGGGTTCAAATCCTGCCACGACTGATGTAGAAATTTAAATTCAATTAAAAATCTGAAATTGAAAAATTAGTCTAGCTGTGATCATTGTTGTAGTTAAAAACCCATCTAGTTTACTAATGCCCTGCAGGAAAGGAAATCTCCTGTCCTTTTCTGGTCTACATGTGACTCCAGACCCACAAAACAATATGGTTGACTCTTAACCACGCTCTGGGCAATTAGGGATAGGCCCTGTCAATGACAATCACATCTCATGAATGAATCAAAGCAAAAAGGAAACCACACAGGTCCTTATCACATTTCTGTTTGTGGGATCTTGCTGTGCACAGAATTCTTGCACTTGCAGCAGTACTTCATTGGCTGCAGAGGATTTTGAGATGCCCTGAGGTTGTAAAGGGTACTACGGAAATGCAAGTTCTTTCTGAATTCCACTTCTCAGTTTCCAGTCAGTCCCAAGTCTAAGTGGTCAGTGATGACCAAAACAGTTACAGCCACTCACCCAGCTTGGAAAGGAGGTATAGGTCAGCGCTGATCCCTATCCAGTGATCGCACCTCCACAAATACCCAACACTTATTGCAGCGTAGAAAAAAAAGACTCAGATGAAGATAGAAACATCTGTTCAGTTCAATGGTGATGCCCCTCAAAGTCAAATAGCAAAATGACAATAGCTGCACCCAGAGATACACAAAGCAGGCTCCTCCATGGAAGGTTTAAAATCCAGGTGATTGGTAAAAGAAGTAATGGTGACTCGGGGGTAAAGGTTTTTACTTGGGTTATTGGGCTCAGCCATTTACCTGGTGTAGGCAGATTCAATTACAGCTTTCAAAAGGAAGAGAAAATGCTCACGGGCCTGTGGGGAAAAGGCTGCAGAGTGGGACTGGATGAACTTTTATTGAATTCGTTCACGGGACATACCCTTGTTGGCTGAGCCAGCATTTGTTGCCCCTTGAGAAGGTGGGGGTGAGATGCCCTCTTGAACCGCTGCAGTCCATGTGCTGTAGGTTGACCCACAATACCCCTAGAGGGAGGGAATTCCAGCATCTTGACTCCATGACAGTGAAGGAACTGCGATATATTTCCAAGTCAGGATGGTCGAGTAGCTCGGAGGGGAACTGGTGGCGTTCCCGTGTATTTGCTGCCCTTGTTGTAGAGTTATAGAACCATACAGCACGGAAACAGACCCATTGGTCCAACTTATCCATGCCAAGCAACTAGTCCCTTTTGCCTGCGTTTGGCCTATATCCTTCTAAACCTTTCATAATCATGTACCGGTCCAAATGTCTTTTAAGTTTTGTAACTGTACCCGCCTCCACCATTTCCTCTGGCAGTTCATTCCAGCTACAAACCACCTCTGTGTGAAAAAATTCCCCCTCTGGTCCCTTTTAAATCTTTCTCCTCTGTCCTTCTCTTACACAGTGCCAGTACAGACACAAGGGGCCGAAAGGCCTCCTTCTGTGATTCAATGAAATGCAATATTTTTTTTTACGTTTACTTTTACTGGTGGAAGGCACTGCTGTAAAACTAGAATTTCTGGGGCACGTCTTGATTCCTTTCAAGGTGGGAGGAGGACAGCAGGAGATACCGATAATAAAGATGTCCTTACGAAAGGAGAGCAGCAAAAGCCAGAAGGAAATGCTGGTTTCGAGAGGGTGAACATTCCTACCCGTGAAATTCCTGCGTCCGCTCCTTACTGTCGCTGTCAGTCAGCAGGCAGTGGCGCAGAATAGCTGCCAGGTGGCGGTAGAGAGCAGCATCCTCCTGTTGGTGGAGAAGACATGTCAGAGGATGGACCCATCAACTCTGTTCCCTGGTGTCAAGGACAGCGACACGTTGAAGTGTACAACGCAAGACAAAAAAATAGGAAGCAGGGAAGACATCAATGAGGTCATGGCTACTCCTTAAACTCTATGTTTTCTGCCTCCCCGCCATGACTCTGGGCTCCCTGGTCAATGGAAGATCCTTCTACCTCAGCCTTGAAGGTTTCCAATGGCTCAACCTGTCTCCATCACTGGGGAAGAGACCTGCGACCCTGGGAGGAGAAATTCCTTCTCATTTCCATCTTAAACGGGAGACGCTTTGTCCTGAATCTGTGCTTCACCCCACCCCCCTCCCCCCAAATCCCAGCTCGAAACTGTTTAATGGGGCCAAACGTTCTCCCAGCATCCACCCAGTCTGGTGTTTGTGTGCTACTATATTGTCCCCTTTGTAATGGCAACAGAGCCCTCCCTGGTGCCCCAGCCAATATCTAGCCCTTGACTGTGGTCATTGTTGGGGGGTAAAGTGGAGATTTATTTAGCCAGTTAACCCATGGCTGTCTGCCGGATCTTGCTGTGTGCAAACCTGCTGCTGCCCATCCTACATGGCAACAACAACAACAAAGACCTCCCATCTCCGTGTCTGGAGTACTTAGTTGGCTGGTGAAATGCTTTCGGACTTTGAGGTTGCGAAAAATTGCCACATAAATGCACGCTTTTCATTTTAATGACAGGGTGATCCCCTGACGAGTGTCAGCACCTCCCCTGCTTCCTTTCTACTGGGCGATCTGGACTTGTGAGGTGATCATTGTCAATTGTCAGAATAAAAAACACCCCATCTGGTTCCCTAATGCCCTTTAGGGAAGGAAATCTGCCATCTTTACCTGGTCTGGCCTACATGTGACTCCAGACCCACAGCAATGTGGTTGACTCTTTGGGCAATCAGGGATGGGCAATAAATGCTGGGCCAGTCAGTGACGCCAATATCCCATGAATGGACAAAAAAAAAACCCATCTGACACAATACTGTCAATTTAGGGAAGAAATCTTCCATCTTTACCTGGCTTGGGCCTACATGTGACTCCAGACCAACAGCAATGTGGCTGACTCTTAACTGCCCTCTGGGCAATAAATACTTGCCTAGTCAGCGACACACACATCCTGCTGTGCCGTCATTTCCCCCCACCCCCACCTTTAGGCCCATGTCCGCACCCTGCACCCTCCTCCCCAACCCCACCCCAGTGTGGTAACAGGACCCTTGCCTCATCCACTTGTTGTTTGCTGGTCTCGAACGTGATGTTGAAGAGGATTTTGAGGATCTCCATGGCTCGCTCGGTCACGTCGCGCAGGAGCGGATTCCCGGGTCTTGAGGTTGCCACCTCGTGCACATCCAACCACCGTAGGCCGAGAGCGGCCTCCAGGGAATCTGCCAGCAATGCCACACCGTGGAGCTGGTGGGCCAGCTGCCTGCGGACATCCAGGCGCAGGGCGGTCAGCAGGAAGGTCAGGCGCAGCTCGTAGAAGCGGGTGGTGTCGCGGCCGCTGCCGGGCAATCCGCTTTCTGACTTCAGGCGGCGGGTCAACCCCCTAACCAGCGGCACCTCCTCCGCCGCCACTCTCTGGGCCTCCTCGCTGTTGTAGACCGTGTTGCACAGGCACTTGAGCGCCTCGGAGGCGACCTCGCTGTCGGAAGCTTTCGGAAGGCCGCCCTCCTCGGCCACCTCCAGCCCGGCCAGCTGGGCCAGCAGGTGCATGGATTCGGCGTGGGCGAAGGGCGCTAGGCCGTGCTTGTCCCTCGATAGGATGCGAATGGCCTCCAGGATCACTAGCTGGCAGCAGGGCTGAAGGTCCCAGCTCAAGGAGTCAATCAGTAACTCCCCGATTTTCTGAAACGGAACCAAACACGGATTAGGACACAGTTGGAGAACTCCACTTGGTAACCTAAAGACTAGAAGCAGAGGAGGCCATTCAGCTCCTTGAACCTGCTCCACTATTCTATAGGATCATGGCTGATCATCCGACTCAGTCTCCGGTTCCCACTTTCTCCCCCACACCCTTTGATCTCTTTAGCCTAAGATTCCATCTAACCTCCTTCTTGGAAACATTCAATGTTTTGGCCTCAACCCTTTCCTGTGGCAGAGAATTCCACTCTCTGGGTGAAGACATTTTTCCTCATCTTCATCATACATTGCCCAAACCCTGTATCCTTAGACCATGACCCCTGGTTCTGGATTCCCCAGTTATCAGGAACATCCTTCCTGCTTTTATCCTGTCTAGTCATGTTAGAAATGTATCGCTCTCTATGAGATTCCCCTCACATTCTTCCAAACTCCAATGAATATTTTCCCTAACTGATCCAGTCTCTCTTCCTACATCAGTTTTGCCATGACAGGAATCAGTCTGGTAAATCTTCGGTGCATTCCCTCCATAGCTAGGACATCCTTCCTCAGATAAGGAGACCAAACTGTACACAATACTCCAGTTGTAGTCTCACCCAAGGCCCTCTATAGTCTCAGCAAGGATTCCCAGCCCCTCTACTCAAGTCCTCCTTTTTTATAACATCGACAATGGGTAGACCCCCTTTTCCCATCTGCAGTCGGCAGGTTCCTTGCTGCGGTTGTACCTGGGAATACACAGCAGGGTGTTCCTTTTAGCAGTAACACTCACAACCACTCACCATTCTGGTATGAACTCACAGCAGGAGTCGGCCATTCAGCCCCTTGAGCCCACTCTCCCATTCACTATGATGATCCCATCTCGGCCTCAACTTCACTTCCCTGCCCGCTCAACCCGTCACTCATTAAAAATCTGTCCATCTCCTCCTTAAATTTACTCAATGTCCAATTTCATCAATTCCACAGACTCATGGCCCTTTGAGAGAAGTAATTTCTCCACATTTCTGTTTTAAATCTGCTGCCCCTTATTCCAAAGCTGTGACCTCTTGTTCTAGATTGTCTGACATGGGGAAACATCTACGTCTACTTTGTCAATTCACTTTTGCGACTTGTAGACCTCACTTAGATCTCCTCTCATTCCTCTAAGCTCGAGAAATTTACGGATGTGATTGCATTAGAGAGGATGTAGAGGAGATTTACCAGGATGCTCCCTGGGCTGGAGGATCTGAGCTACGAGGAAAGTTTGGATAGGCTGAGGTTTGAAATAATTCCTCAAAGGCCGGTATCCTGTCACTAAGTTACCCTTTATTTACCTGTGCACAGTACATGACACTGACCCAGCTAGCTCAGAGCCAGCTTCTAGGATGAACAGAACCCCTGACACTCCAGTATATGTCTGTCAGCTAGGGCTCCGGGATTGGCCCAGATTAATAGCCCCAATGAGGGAACCCGTATTCTGTGAGGGCTGGCTGACCTTGCTCCAATCACTACAGGGTTGTTTTTCCTTGGAGCAGTGGAGATTAAGAAGGAGGTATATAAGATTATGAGGGGCGCTGACAGGCTGGATAGGAAGGAACATTAGTAGAGGGGTCAAACCCCAGGAGCTAAGATGTAAGGTATGAAGTAGCAGGCTAACAGGAGAGTTGAGGAGGTATTTTTCTTCACCCAGACTCTGGTGGGAATCTGGAATGCACTGCCTAAAAGGGTGGTTTATAGAGTCATAGGGTTGTACAGCATGGAAACAGACCCCTCGGTCTGGTTGGTCCATGCCGACCAGATATTCTAAATTAATCTAGTCCCATTTGCCAGCATTTGGCCCATATCCCTCTAAATTCTTCCTATTCATGTACCCATCCAGATGCCTTTTAAATGTTGTAATTGTACCAGCCTCCACCACTTCCTCTGGCAGCTCGTTCCATACACGCACCACCCTCTGTGTGAAACAATTGCCCCTTAGGTCCCTTTTAAATTTTTCCTCTCTCACCTTAAACCTATGCCCTCTAATTTTGAACTCTCCAACCCCAGGGAAAGGACCTTAGCTATTCACCCTATCCATTCCCCTCATAATTTTATAAACTTCTATAAGGTCACCCCTCAGCTCCATTGCCCCAGAGAAAAATAGGCCCAGCCTATTCAGCCTCTCCTATAACTCAAAGCCTCCAAACCCGGCAACGTCCTTGTAAATCTTTTCTAAACCATTTTAAGTTTTACAACATCCTATAGCAGGGAGACCAGAACGCAGTATTCCATACGTGGCCTAACCAATGTCCTGTACAGCCGCAACATGACTTCCCAACTCCTATACTCAATGCACTGACCAATAAAGGCAAGCGTACCAAATGCCTTCTACACTACCCTGTCTACCTCCTACTCCATTTTCAAGGAACTATGAACCTGTACCTTGAGGCCTCTTTGAGTCAGAAAATCAGGTAACATTAAAATTGTATTTAGATATCCATTTGCATTGCCATAGCCTCCAGGGCTTAGGGTCAAGAGCTGGAAAATGGGTTAGAGTATGGGGGCAGGGAGGTTATGCTGGAACTGTATAAAGTAGTTAGTTAGGCCAAGCTGGAGTACTGTCGGAAGGATGTGATTGCACTGGAGAGTGTTTAGAGGAGATTTACCTGGATCTGAAACAAAAACAGAAATTGCTGGAGAAACTCAGCAGGTCTGGCAGCATCTGTGGAGAGAAATCAGAGTCAACATTTCAGGTCCAGTGACCCTTTCTCAGAACTGTTCACCCAGATGTTACCCAAATTACTGTGGCACCTTTTCCGTGCACATTGTAGCTTGGAGCTACAGATTGTGAGGATACAGGCTCCAACTCCTTCCCCATTCCAGGAATCTCTCCCACCCTCACCACCTTCCACTGGGGGTGTCGGAAGGAGTGATGAGTTGATATTTAACCTATTTGGCTTGTTACGAACGCTCTTTACTTGGCAACAAAGTCCTGGAGTGGGACTCGAGCTATGAAGCTTTTGCCTCAGAGAGGGGGGCACTACCCATTGCACCACTAGACCTCTTTGGTAAAAAGGATCCCGTTACATGTTGCACACTGTGATGTTCCTCATCTCTTTCAGTCTTTCTCTTGCTGCTAATATTAGCAGTGACAAGCTGTTTCCCCCCGCCCCACATTGACGTATGTGGCCTGCTCTGCATTATTTACATTCACTCATGGGTCGTGGACATTACTGGCTTGGCCAGCATTTATTGTCCATCCCTAGTTGCCCCTTGAGAAGTTGGTGGTGAGCTGCCTTCTTGAACCACTGCAGTCCATGTGCTGTAGATGTACCCATAATGCTGTTAGACAGGGCAATCCAGGACTGTATATAAATGATTTGAGAACACAGGAGGCATGGCTAGTAAGTTTGAGGATGACACTAAAGTTCATGGTATAGTGGACAGTGAAGAAGGTTATCTCCGCACATTGGGATCTTGATCTACTGGGCTAGTGGGCCAAAGAATGTCAGATGGAGTTTAATTTAGATAAATGTGAGATGTTGCCTTTTGGTAAGACAAACCAGGGCAGGACTTGCACTGTTAATGGTATGACCCTGGGAAGTACTGTAGAGAGACCCAGGGGTGCAGGTATACAATTCCTTGAAAGTGGCGTCACAGGTAGACAGGATGGGGAAGAAGCTGTTTGACACACTTGCCTTCATCAGTCAGAGCGTTGAGTATAGGAAATGTTACGTCATCTTGCAGCTGAAGAAGACATTGGTAAGGTCTTTCGTTTACTGCCTACTATTTTGCTCACCCTGGTATAGGGAGGATGTCATTAAATTGGAAAGGGTGCAAGGAAGATTTACTGGGATGTTACCAGGACTGGAGGGCTTGAGTTATAAGGAGGGGCTGGATAGCCTGGGACGTTTTTCCATGGAACGTCAGAGGCTGAGGGGCGACCTTATAGAGGTTTATAAAATTGTGAGGGACATGGATAGAGTGAATAGCCAAGGTCTTTTCTCCAGGGTAGGGCAGTTCAAAACTAGGGGGCATAGGTTTGAGATGAGAGGAGAAAGATATAAAAGGGACCTGAGGGGTAACATTTTCACATAGAGGGTGGTGCGTGTATGGAGTGGGCTGCCAGAGGAAATGGTAGATGCAGGTACAATTATGACATTTTGGACAGATACAGGGACAGGAAAGGTTTAGAGGGATATGGGCCAAACACAGGCAAATGGGACTAGTTCAGTTTAGGAAACATGGTCAGCATGGGTGAATTGGGCCAAAGGGTCTGTTTCAGTGCTGTATGACTCTATATTGACCCACTGGTGTAGGTTCAAGTCCTATTTGCTTCAGAGGTATGTAACAGCATCTGATCAGGTTGATTAGAAAAGCATTTTCTTGCTTGGTGTCCATGGCACATTGAGTTGAAGTATAGTGCTCTCAACCAAGTCCAACGTGGGATCATGGCTGATCTGTACTGACTCCACTCATGGACCTTGGCTCCATACCCCTCTGTACACACAAGGGGCATTTACAAGGTTCAGGAGCAGGCCTTAATAACAGAGCAGAGGATCAGGCAGTGCAGTTATCGTGAATGACACTACAGGAAAGATATTGCCAAAAAGGCCAAGCCCAGCCCTGCCTCAGAATGAAGAGTCCTGCCTCTTACCTTTCTCAGCTTCACCTCAGGATCATCTGAATGGCCGGAATCAGAGTCGGAATCCGAGTTGGAAAAGTACTCTGTGTGTTTCATTTTCCTGAACTATGCCCCAGAAAAACAACAGAAGCAGATGACAAGGCTGATAAATAAAAGGTGGAGCAGACAGAACAAACAGACAAAATTTCTGAACCTGGCATTCCTGGGCTCTGTATGTGTGTGCCTGTGTGTTTGTGTGTCTGTGTGTGTGTGTATCTATGTGTGCGTGTGTGTCGGTGCGTGTGTCTGTGTTTGTGTCTGTCTGTCTGTCTGTGTGTGTATGTATGTCTGTGTTTGTGTGTGTATCTATGAGTATGTGTGTGTCTGTGTGTATTTGTGTGTGTTTCTATGTGCAAGTGTGCATGTGTATGTGTGTGCGTGTGTGTGTGCGCGTGTGTGTCTGTGTGTGTCTATGTGCGTGTATGTGTGTGCATCTGTGTGCGTTTCTATGTGCAAGTGTGCGTGTGTATGTGTATGCGTCTGTGCGTGTGTGCGCGTGTCTGTGCACTTGACTGTGCGCTGTCTGTGCCCGTGTCTGTGCGCGTGACTGTGTGTGTGTCTGTGTGTGTGTGTGTCGTTGTGTGTGTGCGTCTGTGTGCGTGGAGGGGGGAATGGGAACTTGGGGTAGGTGACAGTGTGGGGCTGAGGGGAGACAGTACAAAATGAGAATATAATCTAAATGTAAAGTGTAATGTTTGAAGTATTATTGATCTGCCTTTTGTCAAACGTCAAATGAGTCCTGTTTAGCTACAGTGGATAAGAACAGGAAAGCGAACAAATATCAGAGACAAACACAGAGATTGATGGAGAAACTCAGCAGGTCAGGCAGCATCTATGGAGAGAGAAACAGAGCTAACATTCTGAGTCTCATATGGCCCTTGTTCAGAACCAAAGAACATTCATGACACATTTTGAAAAAGAGTCAACTTTTGACTTGAAATATTAACTCTGCTTCTCTCCATAGATGTGGCCAGACCTGCTGAGTTTCTTCAACGTTTTCTGTGATTGTTTCAGATTTCCAGCAGGATTTTGCTTTTAAAAGATTCCAGAGCTCTGTATCCCATACAACAAACGGCACTACGTCTCTCTGAAGCAGGGCTACCCACAGTGGGGGCCAGGAGTTCAAGAGAGGACCGTAAGCCAGAATTCTGGGTTCGTGAGCAAGAGGACGGAATGGCCCCATGGACCTCTGACTGAGTTATAACAACCATATCCCGCATTAAGAAGAGGAGATTCCCACTGACACAGGAGCTCACCTTGCTCTGGCAGGTCTCCCTCCCCCACACCCACTCTCAACCCTCACTCGGGCTGGGGAGGGGTGGAGTGGGGCTGGGGGGCTGGTGGTCCACAACAATGACCAAATCTAAGTATGGGGTCACAGTAAGAAAAGGTTTGTGAAGAGCTGGACTGTAGTGAGCTAGAAAATGCCCCGAATGTGAACCCTGGACCACTCTGTTGGTCCAGTACAGTGAACCACACAGCGGTTTGCAATACTAAGCCAGGCTGGTGCATCTCCAAAAGTACATTTGTGTTGAATCAGCTAATGATTATCAGTCGGTGCTACTCTCGTAGCTGACTCAGACGATTTTGCATTCCAGTCCCACTTCAGAAGCTTAAGCCCAAATAATCCTGTGAGTCACTCCAGAGCAGTGTTGAGGGTGAGCTGCATTGTTGGAGGCATGATATGACACCCAAACTCTCTCAAGCAGATGTAAAAGACCCCGAGATCCCGCTCTGAAGGAGAGCGGAGGGTCCATTCTCAGCGTCAGGGCCAATATTTTACCGTCAGCCACCGTCAGTATCATCTGGTCATTATTAGTGTTGGTGGGACCTTGCAGTGTACAAGAATGGCTACACTTCAGAGAAGTAGCGTGTCGGCTATAGAGCATTTTGAGGTGCGCTGAGATTGTGAGCAGTGAGAACTATAAGCCCTTTTCAAATATATCACAGCCAAATCTCAAAAGAATGGCAAAACACTGGATGGATCACAAACCAGCTTACTGGCAGTGAAATGCCTGATCAGTAGAGTCACGACAGCAGAGAGCAATAAGCAAGGAAGACATGGGAAGGGTAATTCTAGAGTTAGCTGGAAGCTAATTGCTATGATGAAGGAAGGAGCAATAAAAGGTTACACTTTGCAATTGTTGCGTTGCAAGAACTGAGGACTAAACTATAGGAGGGATTCCTTCAATAAAAACAAAAAGTGGCGAAACTCAGTTCTGAAGAAGAGTCGTTTAGGACTCAGCGAAGCGTTAACTCTGTTTTTCTCTCTCTTCGCAGATGCTGCCAGATGTGCTGAGTTTCTCCAGCACTTTCTGCTTTTATTTCAGATCTTCAGCATCTGTGGCATTTTGCTTTTATTTGAGGGAATCCTTTACCTCTTCCAGTTTCTCACGCTGCCGCATAACAGAAGTAGGGAAGGAGAGATGCAAAAGGAAAGTTTAAAGATATATCATTGACTGCACAGTGAAGACTGTAACTTTCAGGATCACCGTCGCTCACAGACTGTTGCCCAGTTGGTTAAAAAATCACTAGCAGACTTATTTTGATAGTTAGACAGTTGACACCTTCTTTCAAATATGGACTGGATGTTGTCCTGTCTCACTTGCATCCCTAGGAAGGCTTGTGGAACATTGGGTAATATCCCTGGCACTGAGCCATAGAGTCACACAGCATGGATACAGACCCTTCGGACCAACCAGTCTATGCCGACCATAATCCCAAACTAAACCAGTCCCACCTGCCTGCTTGATCCATATCCTTCTAAACTTTTCCTATTCATGTACTTAACCAAATATCTTTTAAATGTTCTAACTGTACCTGCATCCACCACTTCCTCTGGAAGTTCATTCCACACACGAACTACTCTCTGTGTAAAAAAAAATGCCCCTCATGTCTTTTTTAAATCTCGCCCTAAAAATATGCCCCTACTCTTGAAATTCCCCACCCTGAGGAAAAGCCATCTGTCATTCACCTTATCTATACCCTCATGATATTATAAGCCTCAATAAGGTCATCCCTCAACCCCCTGCGCTCCAGTGAGAAACATCCCAGCCTATCCATTTTGGTAAATCTCTTCTGAACTCTCTCCAGCTTCCAATAACAGTAACGATGTGGAGGTGCTGGTGTTGGACTGGCGTGAACAAGGTCAGAAATCACACAACACCAGGTGTTGGAGGAGTAAGACTCTGAAAGCTTGTGTTTTCAAATAAACCTGTTGGACCAAAATAAGAGACAACAAGGTGTAGGGCTGGATGAACACAGCAGGCCAAGCAGCATCATAGGAGCAGAGAGGCTGACGTTTCGGGCCTAGACCATTCATCAGAAAAGGGGGAGGGGAAGGGGGTTCTGAAATAAATAGGGAGAGAGTGGGAGGCGGATAGAAGATGGATAGAGGAGAGGATAGGTGGAGAGGAAACAAACAGGTCGATACGAGAGAGTTGCAGTGGGAGAGAGATCCCTTGAGGTTTGTCCGGAGGGAGGAGGGTAACTTCTTCAGGCTAGGCATCCTTAGAAGAGGCTTCGCAGTGGGGTTAAAATCGAATCAGAGATAGTAGGAACTGCAGATGCTGGAGAATCCGAGACAACAAGGTGCAGGGCTGGAAGAACACAGCAGGCCAAGCAGCATCATAGGAGCAGAAAGGCTGACGTTTCGGGCCTAGACCCTTCATCAGAAAAGGGGGAGGGAAAGGGGGTTCTGAAATAAATAGGGAGAGAGTGGGAGGCGGATAGAAGATGGATAGAGGAGAGGATAGGTGGAGAGGAAACAAACAGGTCAGCCTTTCTGCTCCTATGATGCTGCTTGGCCTGCTGTGTTCATCCCGCAGGACCAAAATAAGCTTGTGTTTTCAAATAAACCAGTTGGACCAAAACCTGGTGTTGTGTGATTTCTGACCTTCCAATAACAGCCAGAACCTCCAGGTTTAAGTCCCAGTCAGGGACTTGATGACCAAGGATGTTGTGTTCAAAACGTTGTTGAAACAGGTTAATTATCAATATGCAAATCCCTCCAACACACACCAACGGCAAAAGGATGAGATTCCCAGCCATCTGTGTAATGGATGTAGGTTGGGCTTGTACTCAAGGAGTTTAGATGAATGAGCGGTGACCTATTGAAACCTACAAGATTCTTGGGGTGGGGATTGGGTTGCTTGACAGGGTGGATGTTGAAAGACCAGAGAGTATAATCTCAGAATAAGGGGGTCGCCCATTTAAGACACCGATGCGGAGGAGGAATTTCTTCCCTCAGTGGGTAGTGAATCTGTGGAAATTTTTACCACAGACGGCTGTCAAGACTGGGTCGTTAAGTATATTCAAGGCTGAGATAGATATTTAATCGTGAAGGGAATCAAGGGTTATGGGGAAAAGGCAGAAAGTGGAGTTGAGGATTATCAGATCAGCCAAGATTTCTTTGGATGGCAAAACTGACTTGATGGGCTGAATGGTTTACTTACACTCCTATGTCTTATGGAATGAAAGTTGCAGCCGAACCCAGAACTCTAGGTTACATCATGTCGGTAAACAGTGACAAAGTGCCCCTATTGTCACAGTAACCTGGTCTCCTTGAGTGAGCTGCCCCATCCTACCGCACCCTCCTCTCTCTCGGTCAACCGACCAAACAGTAATCATCCTTTTAACAACCCAGTCTAGCTTCCTGTAGAACAAACACGCAACAGAGTTGTCAATTTTGATTGGAGCATTTGGCTGGCGTATGAATTATAAATAGTCTCTATTTATCAATGAGTCTGGCCGCTCTCGTCAGACAGACATGGCAGGTCTGAGAAGAGTTTTTGCGTTCAGATATACTACACTTTCAATCTTTTAGCTCTCGGCTGCAGGTTTGTTTACGAAATGACTTCCTGCCCATTTACTTGCCCACCTCCTTCACCACTTCCCCCTTGTTCTGTTCTCAGTGATTTCAGCCGAAATTTCGATAACCAATCCTGATCGAGAACTGGCGCCTCTTCGTTCTGACCTGGAGTCACCTACGCAACTTCAGGTAGAGGATATCTTTGTCAGCCATGTTGGTGTTTGTAGCATTCACTCCGGTGGGCTAGCATAAGCACTATCATGACCCTGTTGGGCTGAATGGCCTCTTTCTGTGCTGTACATATTTAGTAGAGAGCTAGGCTCCTGTTGTGGACAGAACGTTGAACAAATATGCAGTTGATCCATTGAGGCATACAGTGAGGTAGCAGTGACCTCTGTAGTCATGTGACAGAGACTCTGCTGGAAGGCTGGAACCAGAGAAGCTCTAGAGTCACAGAATCATAGCGATGTACAGCATGGAAATAGACCCTTTGGTCCAACTAGATAAATCTAGTTCTATTTGCCAGTATTTGCTCCATATCCCTCCAAACCCTTCCTATTCATGTACCCATCCAGATATCTTTTAAATGTTGTAATTGGACCAGCCTTCACCATTTCCTCTGGCAGCTCATTCCATACACGCACCACCCTCTGTGTGAAAAAGTTGCCCCTCAGGTCCCTTTGAAATCTTTCCCCTCTCACCTTAAACCTATGCACTCTAGTTTCAGACCCGGGGAATAGACCTTGTCTACTTACCCTAACCGTGCCTGACGTTAATTTACCACATGTGTAGTAAGTACTGTTTGAAGAGGTCCAGGCTGAGCCTAGCCAAATAGGTGAACCCAGACTCTAACAGTCGGTGCAGCAGTGAGGAATGCTGCACAGCAGGAGGCGCTGTCTGGTGGATGAAGTATAAAGCCTGCCTAACAATGCACTAAGAGAGCTCGTGTGTAATGTTAAGCTGCCAAAAACTGTTGAATTACACTTACCTTTCTCCTCTCTCTCTCCTCTGCATTGAAAAAGAAGCTCTGGGCATACTGGGGAGTGTAAAAACAAACACAAAGACAAAAAAAAAAGTTATTGACTTACTGCAATGAGAAAATTATGTCCTTTTTACCTCAGTGTATAATTTTTGAATGAGCACATTTTATAAACAGGGGATCTTTTCATAGAATCCCTACAGTGTGGAAACAGGCCCTTTGGCCCAACAAGTTCACACTGACCCTCAGAGCATCCCACACAGGCCCACCCTCTAATCTAAGCATCCCTAGATACTACAGGCAATTTAATTTGGCTGATCCACCTGGCCTACACATCTGGGGACCATGGGAAGAAGCCCATGAAACCATAGGGAGAATGCACATACTCCACACAGACAGTTACCCAAGGGGAGAATTGAACCTAGGTCCCTGGTGCTGTGAGGCTGCAGTGCTAACCACTGTTGCCACCATGCTGCCCTTTTCTAAGGTTTTATGTTAGGATATGAGAAGAGGGAGCATGTGGTCACAATTGTAATGTCAGAAAACCAGCAGACAAGCTGTGGTCAGCAAGATCCCGCAAGTTGTGGTACAATAATGTGTTCTTAGTGATGTTGCTTGAAGGATACAGGTTAGCCCAGGGTATAAGGGAGAACACACCTTCAAAATAGGACCTCTTTCCCAACTGTAAAGACAAAGTCCCATCATCAAAACTGTAAGATGGCATCCCTTCCAGTACAGCAGGATGATGCAGACGGGGCTGGTCAGATGGACTGAACAGCAGCGAGTGGAATCAATCCTGCAAAGAGTGAGGTGATGAATTTTTGTGGGGGACTAACAGGCCAGGGGGTACATGGTGAATGGTAGGATCCTAGAAAGTACAGTGGGACCTTGCTGTAAATGGCCATAGATCCTTGAAAGCTGCAGGAACAGATGGATGAGGTGGTTAAGAAGGCAATACCTGCCTTTATAACACTCAAGCAGTGAATGAATTTGGGGTGGCTCAGTGGTTAGTGCTACTACCTCACAGTACCAGGGACCTGGGTTCGATTCCACCCTCAGGCAACTGTCTGTGTGGAGTTTGCACATTCATCCCAGTGTCTGTGTGGGCTGCCTCAGGATGCTCTGGTTTCCTCCCACAGACCAAAGAGTGGCAGGGTAGGTGGGTTGGCCACAGTGTCCAGGGATGTTTAGGCTAGTGTTAGGGGAATGAGTCAGGGTGGGCTGCCCTTCTGAGGGGCAGTGTGGGCTTGTTGGGCCAAATGGCCTATTTCCACACTATAGGGATTCTGTGAATACAAGCATAGGGCAGGCAAAACATTATTTAGCTCACCACTGGAGTATTGTGTACAGTCCTGGTCACCACTCTACAGGCAGGATGTGATTGCACTGGAGAGGAATTCCCTGGACTGGAGTAATTCAGTGATGAATAGAGGCTGGGCTCGTTTCCCTGAAAGTAGAAAAGGCTGTGTGTTTGGAGGTAGGTGGTGTGGATGTAATTGGGGTATACAGAATTATGAGGAATAGAGTTCAGGCAGATGCAACATTTCCCCCCAGTTTGGGGAAACCAAGGGACACAAGTTTTAGACAGAAATTGGTGGAAAAGCTCAGCAGGTCTGGCAGCATCTGTGGAGAGAAATCAGGGTTAACGTTTCGGGTCTGGTGACCCTTCCTCAAAACTGGAAATTGTAAATGAGTTGGACTCAATTGCCCATGAGATAAAGTTCATTGCGCTCCCTCCATCCCACGCATAACAAGAGTCTAAGAACAAGTGGATATATGCAGCTGCAGGTAGCACTGTCATGGGCTCTGGCCTACAGCAAAAAGCAATTCTGCTTAAAATACCACTTTTAAGATGTACCATTATAGAGTCATACAGCATGGGAACACACCCTTCGGCCCAACCAGTCCATGCCGATCTTAATCCCAAACTAAACCAGTCCCACTTGCCTGCTCCTGGCCCATCGGCCTCATTAGGGGCATTTAAGCGGCTATTAGATAGGCATATG